GTAAAAAATCTGAATCTAAGCCTAAAATCATAATGTTCTTAGTGTTCTTCATCCTTTGAAGGAGTGCGGCCGCACACCTTCATATGGTGGCCGCACACACCTTAAAATTCTCCAAAGTGAAGAGTTTGGCCTTCAATTACTCATAAGACTTAAGAACACCTCAAAAATCGACGTTTTGGGCTTAAAATAGGAGTGTACGATCGCATACTCCTGTGTACGGCAACACACCCCCACTGTACGACCGCACACTCATGTGTGCAACCGCACACACACATTTGTTGTACATTTTGACCATACACTCCCTTGTGTAGTCATATACCACTCATATACAACCTTACATGGTTGTAACACTTCATAATAAGTGTTTACTAGTCCCTAAAGAGGTCCCACTACAATAAATAGTTAATCTAAACACTAATTACACCCACATATATATATATATATATATATATATATATATATATATATATATATATATATGTCATTATATGGTTAGTAGGATCTGTTGGTGCTTAAGTCCGCAATTAACACTCAACCTCCTAAATTGATCCTACCATCACATCACTCACTACATGTGAGTTCATACCCCTTAAGCAACCTTTTAAATGTTTTTATACGTTTTATGGGGGTGGGGGATACAAGTTGAACCAAACAAGCTATAGTACTAATCATATGTGATTTACAACTTGTTATCAAAAGGATTTTCTATATTTTCAAATTACCATGCCAGTAAAGTTGTTTTAAATGTTTATCAAACTTATTTTCATGCTTAATTGTTCTAAAAACTATTTTCCAATGCTTTCAAAATTGTTTTTGTTTTCAAATCATATCTACACCAATATATTTATATAAGTAAGGATTGAAGGACTTAGAACTAATAGCTCACCTTATTTCCTGCTCTTGTTTGATTGTGGACTTAGGGTATTCTGTTATCTGTCCGACTGTCATTGAATTCTTAGTTATATATCATATATATTTGTGTTGGATATAAAAGTCTTCGCTTCATTTCAACACCTTTGTGTATCAAAGGCATTCAACTAACATCTTTATTTAACGATAATAGGTATAGTTAAAGGTTTCCACTCATTACTATTGCTACTATGATACTCTCTATGGTCAGTACAGTTACGAGTCTATACGTACTATACACTATTAGAAGAGAACACTATACACTGTACGAAGAGAATACTATACACTATACGAAGAAAATACTATACACTATACGAAGAGAATACTATACATTATACGAAGAGAACACTATATACTACACAAAGAGAACACTATATACTACATGAAGAAAGTACTATATACTATACGAGAGAATATACTAAAATAGAATGTGAAGCACTACTTCTCGATACAACACTTCACTATGCGATCGCCGTGTAACCAGGGCCTTCTGGAGGGAGAACGAACACTATGTGTATAGACCTATACGGGACAGACACTCCCACATACCAACTGCTAGCTACAGTCCGAGCCGATTAGGCCCAGGGATGACAAAACATCACCACGCTACACATGACCTGGAGGGTCAATTGTTATACTACTGTCACTCAGCATGGCTACATACGAGTCTCACATTCAAACCGTAACTAACATATTAAGGATTAAAGGTAAAACAGACTTCCCGAGGTGTATACACATTTAATACTACCTAGAGTTTACATCTCTACTACATTTAGCCGGCAGTGATACTGCTGGGGTAAAACTCTATTCTTCTAATTTCCTTATATGAACGAAATTTAAAACTATATTTTCACACTGACATTTTTACTGGGAAAACTCTTACGTTTTCAAAGAATCAAACTTACAAATATCCGAGTCTTGGTAAAAGACTACCTTTGTCGGAAAATATAGGATTTTCTAGGGTTCACACTAATTTCAAAACTTGATAACAATTATTGTATTACTTGGTGTCAAACACTTTTTATGCAAATAATGACACTAAATACTTATGAACTCACCAGCTTTATGTTGATACTTGTTTTCAAAATAACTTGTATTCTCAGGTCATCAGTAGGTAGGTACAGATGCAACTTTTGAGAAGATGGAGTATATATATACAAGACTCATCTTTTATTTTGATTATACTTTTGGTGTCTATCTGTACAGAACACGCTTGTATTACAATTATTATACTAATGCAATGGGTGTTGTTGTTTGTCCTTACTATTATGCGTTGTTATGATACTGTACATGACGTCCTCCACCCCATAACGTATTCCGCCGTTCTCGGTTTTGCGGTGTGACAGGAACTCACTAAGCTTCGTGCTTACGGTTTTACAGTTTTGGTTTCAAGTACTTCCACTTCGAAGGGAAAGGAGCCGGCATGACTGCAACTATCACACCATGATTTTTCGCACTATCATGTTCTTGGGATTTGTACTCTAACATTATTATGACATGTTTTGAGACATGACTTATGGGTTTTTATGATATGAGATAATTTAATGATGTTTTCAATAATCTGTTTTATGAATTATTAAATTAAAAATGAAATTTTTGGTCTTGGATTTTGGGATGTTACATTTTGCCAACAAAAATTGCACATAACAATTCTTTTGAAGACTGCATCCATAGAGCTAAGGGATATAACATTGTTATGCATGATCTGTTGTACTTTATTAAGAAGTTTCACTGCATCTGGCGCAAGGAAACGAAACGTATCAAATGCAAATGGTACGAACACATGTTGATTTTCGATGCACGATTTTGTGACCTTGCATGTAGCAGCTTTTCCCGCTGTGAAACCCCCGACCCTCAAGCCTATGAGAGGGGATACCGTGTAAGGTCTACACATGCGAGTTTCCCTCTAAACCATCCAAAAATTAAAACGTCAACCGGTCTAAGGGTTGACCTTCCTTCTGTTCGGTCAGTCAAGAAATTCACAGGAGCCTCTTTCTTGGCAAAACCCCGACACACTTAAATATGTCGACCAAAACATCCCTAGCCATATCGTGCATGTATTTGAAACGCCAGAGTTATTTGCAATGAACTGCATGCTCTCCAAAAGAGTCCAAACATGCCTTGCGGCATACCAGACATATTTCGTCAGCTGGGAATATTGGAATCATGAGTTGATATTTGAGGATGGTACGATACTCCACAAGAGACATATATTGGTCAAGCCCATCTATAGGGATAGCTATAAGAAAATCTTGAGCATGTGATGCACGTAAACAATGGAAAACTGCTTTCTGCCGAGCTGTCATGATGAAAGGCACTTCCATATCTTGGGCAATTTTACTAAAAATGACACTCGCCAGTGTACTCTGGGATTTTTTTTTTTTGGGGGGGGGGGGGGGGGGAACAGGGTGTCCTTAGTAGTAAAACTGCTAAGGTCAATGTCTGGAAGCTTGTTACGAAGAGAATCTAAGGCACACGCATAATTAGAATTCATACCATATATGTCTTTATCTCGTAAGATGTAGTCATGCAATACCTAAGATTGAGCCCGTGATCCAACAAAAGCATATGAGATAGCGTCTACTGCCGATTATAAACTCAAACCATCAAACTTAATGGGTAGAGAAGCAATTTGCCATTGTATGTCGCCAAAGAAAGGGTCACTGCAAACCACAATGTCCTCAATCTCCCCACACAACTCATTGTCAAATAACAACGTCGCCTCCTCTATGTGAACAAGTTGGTACATCTTCAGCCAAAGAAAAGTTTATCAATACCCATACAAGACCAAAGTAGAAGGAGCTCACTCTGCGGGTCAGACAATTGTGGAAGAATGTGTTTTTAATTTTTTTTTAGTCCAATCCAAAAGATTACCGATAAACCTGTTAAATGACTAAATAAAAAAAAAAGAAAAAAAAATACAATGTCAATTTTAGAAAAAAAAAAAGATTGGTTCAAAAAGTCTTCAATAAATAAGGTATTTTTATGATATTAATTTAATCTAAACTAATAAAAAGTTACAAATAATTTAAAGGTAAAGAACTTTCATAGTGTGCATTTTCAAAATAGTCCCTAAGTATACTATCTTATAATTGGACTTTTATTAAACTTGACATGACTTTATGGTGTGTAGCATACCACACGATGTTCCCTCTTTTAGGTTAAGGAGAGTGGTAACACTCTTAGCATGTTGCCACGTCAACTTTTTGAAAGTCACATTATTTTTCTCCATTTAACATCTAATCTTAACATTTGATAGGGAGTGGTAACATTCTTAACATTCTATTTTTTTATTTTCTTTTTTTAATTTAATTTAATTATTTTGATAAGCAAAAATACTTTTTCAATATCACACACATCTTTTTGATTTAACTAATATATATATATATATGGATGGAAAAAACCAAAGTCATTATGACAAATATATAGATTACTAAATACCTTAGGGACTAGTTTTGTAACTATAGATTAAAATATGAACAACACGTGAACACGGGATTTAAAACCAAAAGACCTAAATATCATCGCCATTAAATCACTGTAAAATCTCCCCTTTCCAACTCTTTCAACTGTGCAATTTTCACGATCGGGAAACCACCATCGTCTCCGTGTCTTCCGGCCAACGCCAACGTTATATTAGCTCCATTATTTGACGTAATCTATTTTGTAGATACATAACGAAGCTTTATTGTATATAGTATTGAAGATTTTAGTAGTTAGGGTTTACAAAACACTTTTATTAAACTTGACATGACTTTATGCTGTATAGCATACCAGGATGTTCCCTCTTTTATGAAGGAATAAAAAACAACTTAAATTTATTTCTGAGATACTCATTGCTTAAATAGCTATGTGAAATCGCTTTATTTTGTGTAAATTTAACCACTTGCCAACTGACTTATTTATATGACTGGACCTTTTATGATATATAAGATCTTTTATGATATCGATATTAATTTTTTAATAATAAAATATTACAAATAATTTAAAGGTAAAGAATTTTCAAAGCTTGCATTTTTATTTATGATATATAAGGTCATTAATGTTTACTTTTTTATGAAAAACTACAAAATAAAAATAAAAAATTGTAGATGCTTATTGCTTGAGTAGGTACGTGAAATCATTTTTTTTCCTTATATGAATTTAATCATTTGCCAAGCATTCACTTGATTTTAACCCCAGGAATGGTCAACTTTGAGTCCACCCTTCCCAGCTTTGATAAACCACATCACATGTACACATGTTCTCTTTGTGTAATAAGAGCAAACTTCAGCGGGCTTAAATGAAAGTTGCACTCCCTATAAAAAACTTATATTTCTTCTTCCATCTGCACTCCCCGCCTTTCGATTTCTTTATTACTGACTAGTGACTGCCATATTCTGCACTTTCTTCCAAAATACTCCATTAATGGCGGCACTGGCGAAGCTCGTACTCAAGAGGAGAAACTTCTTCATTTCCAGAGAAATTTTGATCGGAGCTAAATTCTACACATCTCATCCCTTGCCGGAATCTTCCTTTGCTCAGAGAATCAGAGATCTGCCGAAAGATCTCCCTGGTACTAACATCAAAAAAGACGCTTCTCAGGTATAATCTATATCTATCGTTATTTTCATGTTGTGTTTCTATTCGCGGATGCTCTTTTGGCCCCCTGTTTTGATCTCAATGACAATATGGAAAATAGTTCTTAAAATCCGGTAATTAACTAAGAGAATAAGTAGCTGAAATCCAGAAAATCGCTTAAGAAATCAAAACAGATCTAATTTTATCAGGAGACCAAATAAACTAGGAAATCATCTCTTAAAACTCTGTAAAAACCAAAAAAAACTAATGAAATTTACTACTTCTAACTCAATCTTTGAGGTTAAGATCCGGTCACTGGAAAGAATAACTCCGCCGCCCAAATGCCCACCTCCTTCACCACTCATCGTTATTCTCGGCCGGTCGCCGAACTGTTCGCCGGTTCTGTACACTCTCTCTCTCTCTCTCTCTCTCTCTCTCTCTCTCTCTGCCGGTCGTCGCCTCGCATTCGCCTGACTGCACCTCTGACACCGCCAGCTGCCGCTCTCACTCTCCGGTGTCATCTCCGTTAGAGTAACTATATGTATGGTGCTCTTTCTATTTCTTTATTCCTTTCTGACAACAGTATTATTTTATTTATTGAACAATACTATTTCTTATTTATTAATGAATTACCTGCAATTCTTATAATACATAAAAAAGATAATAGACGTTGATCAAAAAATTGGAAACACAAAACATGTGTATGTAATTTATTAACATAAAATGAAAACACAAACATATATACATGTTATTTACTTTAGAAATCAAAATAAATAAACTGATATATGTTTTTATCAATACAATTAGTTTTTCGTAAAAATATATCTGTTTTTTTGTTAATTTTGTTAGATAATTATAGTCTATATCATTATGAAATAAAAACTCCCTAGTGATGGATCTATTAAAATGAAACATACAAATTCTACTCCATATATATTAGATTTTGTTTTGAACGGAAAAAAAAAATCTTGCCTATTTTGTTTTAGGTGTTCATTAGATTCTCGATAATTTGAAATTGGTTGGCAAATTTAGCAATCGACTTTCTGAAAATCACTTACACGTTATCTGTTTTGTGTAGCTTGTTGTTTGTCTATTATCGTCTTCAAAATCTAATCCAAATAATTTGAGTTTGCAATTGTTTCATTTGTCACTATCAAAAGATTTTCACTCGATTTGGTTTTGTAATTTTAATATTTTATGAGAAAGCCAGAGATAAACTTTTTCAAAATAAATACATCTTTTGCGGCAATTTTGATGTTGTTTAATTACAGGATCCGTTATATGTCTAATATGTTTTTTTTACCCTTTTTAATATCAATAAGTATAAGCGAGTAATTAGACAAAAGTATCGTAGATCAAAAGCAATATAAGTAGTTATTGAGAAATAAAAATGGTGTATTTAGATTGAAATTTTTTACTTCCATAAACATTTAATAGTCTTGGAATGACTTATATATATATATATATATATATATATATATATATATATATATATATATATATATATATATATATATATATATATATAAGCCATAAGGACACAAATAAGAAGCATTAAATATGAGAAATATTCTTTATAATTAATAAATTTCATATTTAATTGTTGTAATATTTTTCAATAACTAATGTTGTAATATATATATATATATATATATATATATATATATATATATATATATATATAAGCCATAAAGACACAAATAAGAAGCATTAAATATGAGAAATATTCTTTATAATTAATAAATTTCATATTTAATTGTTGTAATATTTTTCAATAACTAATGTTGTAATATATATATATATATATATATATATATATATATATATATATATATATATATATATATATATATATATATATATATATATATATATATATATATATATATATATATATATATATGGATTAACCTTAACCTTTTATTTTTAAAACAACTTATAATGAAACATACGGATCATCTTATAAAAATTCTTGATGTATTGTTAAAAAAATTATTTACTTGTAAATTTATTAAACATCGTGATCGTAATAAATTAAACAATCATCCATGACGTAATATATTTTGTTTATATGCTAAAATTAGATATTTATTAAAATAGAGAAAATATAAGCCATCCACTAATGCTACGATTAGTGGAAGTAGACAAGGTTCATTTTGGTATTTGGAACTTTCACACTAATGCTATTTTTTTACTTTTGCAACATAACAAAAAGGCAAAGCACCTTCTTACTTTTACTTTGACACTTCACTTTAAAAAGTGTTGTAGTTTTTAGAATAGATTACAATATTAAAAATAAAAGGCGTCCACATAACCAAAAAAATGTTTATGATTTTGTATTTTGTGCTATGGTCCTGTGTATATTTTTTTTTTTTTTATAAATAGACTACAATTTTATGATTTTTTTTGTATGTGAAATAAACCTTTGAATATTATATTCCAAACAAAGCTAAGACACTTGATGATCGATGATTTTCTTTATTTAAATCTTTAGGAACTTTTGTGTGGGTATTTATTTATCATTTTTTTATATATCTAACCCTTTAAATATCAGATTATAGGTAAAACACCCCTCGTATATCTCAACAAAGTCACGGAGGGTTGTGGTGCATATATAGCAGTCAAACAAGAACATTTCCAACCAAGCGCTAGCATTAAAGACAGGTCTTTTCTCACTCTGAATTTCACTTGTAAAATCGTCAACCTTTTCATTTTTCTAGATCAATCAAAGACTTCGTAAATCCAGAAAAATAACGATCATTTGGAATTAAAAACTTATAAAAACGATAAAGACCCTTTTTTTATGCTTCGTCCTGGGCCTTTGATTGGTTGCAAACACGACAAAAAAAGAACCACACTAAAAAAATTCCCTAAATAGGGATTATAATTTTTTTTATTTATGTATGGGTTTTTGTGGTAGGGAGCAATTTCATATTTTTTTTTAAATCTAGCAACTGACAAGTTGTAAAATTGGTGGTCATTTTGTGATCGGTGAAAAAAGTGGTTAGTCTGTTATATTGATGGTCATTTTTGTGATTTGTTAAATTGGTGGTAAGAGATCATTTTTATTATGAATATCCCATTTATATGTCTCATAATTCATTTTAAACCATGTGTAATCGTTTAAAATTACCACACAAACTTTTTGATAATTTTTCATCAGGCCAGCACTTTCCATGATGCTCGACGCAGAAGAAAAAGGCCTAATTACACCCGGAAAGGTAATCTAATTTTAAAATTACAACACAAACTTTCTGATAATTCTTCTTCAAGTTTTTGTATATGAGACGAGACTGTGTGTGTCTAGCTGCTGATGTGAGACTCAAACAACAAACACCAGATTAGACTAGATTTGTGTCAGGTCCTCACAATTGCTACACTCTGATACCATGCCAGATATATGGTAAAAAAAAAAAAAAACATATTTCTAGTGGCTTTAGTGTTCAGATCGTGCGTAGCAGATATGAGACTCAAAAAATATGATAATAATAATATTTGTATTTTTGTTGATGGTTACTTAATTATACCAGACAGTGTTGATTGAGCCGACATCGGGGAACATGGGAATCAGTATGGCATTCATGGCGGCTTTAAAAGGGTACAAGATGGTTTTAACAATGCCTTCTTACACAAGCTTAGAAAGGAGAGTAACAATGCTAGCATATGGAGCCGATTTGGTCCTAACCGACCCAACTAAAGGAATGGGAGGCACTGTTAAAAAAGCTTACGATCTTTTGGAAAAAACACCCGATGCTTTCATGCTTCAACAGTTCTCTAACCCCGCAAACACCAAGGTTATTTTCGTCTTTTTATTATTATTATTTAAATTGAAAACCAATCGTTATGTGAAAATAGGTGCATTTTGAAACCACTGGTCCGGAAATTTGGGATGACACCAACGGTAAAGTCGACATTTTTGTGATGGGGATTGGTAGTGGAGGAACCGTATCTGGCGTTGGACAATATCTTAAATCAAAAAATCCTGACGTTAAGGTCAAACTGTTAAGATATTGTAATTAAGGACTTTGTTTTGGACAATTGTTTGATTGTTTTTAAAATTCGTCCAAATTTTCTATCTTTTGTAGATTTATGGACTGGAGCCTGAGGAAAGCAATGTGCTAAATGGTGGCAAACCAGGTAAGATTTGGATTCAGTTACATTTTTGCAATTTTGGTCCTTATATAATGTTTTTGGTCTATGTTCCAAGTAAAATGGCTACTTTAGGGTACTGGTTCCAAAAATATAGTCATATTGCATAAAACGTAGATCCAAAAGTTAGAAAACCTCAAAATAAGGAGAAAGTTTGTAATAGAACCAAAATTGCAAAAATATACTATACCGGAGGAGCATAAATGTAATCTACTCTAAGATTTATTTAGCCTTTTTTTTTTTTTTGGAATTTCATTACATTATATGCTTTCCCTTTTTAAACTTTTATCAAATGAACTTATTGTACCTGGTTACTTTCAAATAGGACCTCATCAAATAACAGGAAATGGGGTTGGATTCAAGCCGGATATATTGGACATGGATGTAATGGAGGAGGTTCTTATGGTAAATTTAGCAAAAAAAATCCATAATTTATTTCTGATTGTTATTATTTTTAAAAGAGTTTAATCTCTATAATGATTCGTTACAGGTGTCTAGTGAAGATGCAATTAACATGGCCAGAGAATTGGCCTTAAAAGAAGGACTTATGGTAAGAATTATCGTTTGGGAAGATAAAATTAGAACAAAATATATCCATAAAAGAAAATTAGTTAAAGTTGGTTATTTCTTGTTTGTAGGTTGGAATATCATCTGGAGCAAATACTGTTGCAGCATTAAAACTTGCTCAAAGGCCAGAAAACAAAGGCAAACTTATTGTGGTAAGTAATTCTTTTTCTTCTTGTAAAATTCCTAAAAAGTTACAAATTTTAATTTAAATCGTGATTAATATTCCTATTATTCATTAAAGAGGAATTTTTTCTGTGTTTGATTATTTAATGGTTTTATTAAACTATATCTTCTATATGGTTACTTTAAAAAAAAACATTCATCACCCAAAGTCCCAAAATAAAAACAGGCCTATATAATATTAGCATTTCAAAATTCAAACCCTAGTGTCAAAAATTAAATTGACAATCACTAAATTACCCAATGTGAAAGTTGCAAACCACTTATACACATTTAATACAAAATTTCCAACTTTCTGTTTATTTGAAAAGGATGTTTTACAGATCCAATCAATAGTTACATACTTCTATTAAGATATTAAACATTGCGATTTTTATGGAAAAAAAAAAAAAAGTAGTGATTTTTATTCATTTATTTGTCCAGACAATTCATGCAAGTTTTGGAGAGAGGTATTTATCATCTATTTTGTTTGAGAAGTTGAGGAAAGAAGCAGAAGAAATGCAACCAGTTTCAGTTGATTAATTGATTTGTTATGTTTAAAGATGATGAGCAATGTAATATTTATGTTTCCCAAACTGATAAACTCAATACCATTTATCGTGAATTTTCCAGTTTCATATAAAAAACATGCCAAACAGCCAATGATTGAGGTCCATGTGGGTGAGAAAATCAGAAAAATACATAATTAAGTAATGGAGCAGTCATATAGGGTAGTCACAATAATAATGGTAATGTTATATTCGAACTATGGTATATGCTAGGATTGCTCATGACATTTCATCAAGGTTAAATGAAAGAAATAGCAATGTACTTTCTTTGAATAATTTATTGTAGCATCCTAATTTTACTTCTTCTCAATGAATCTACAAACTCAGCCATGTCATTTGAATACATTCAAATTTTCACTGTTATAATTGGGTAGATTTTTCAAAGTCTATTGTTTTAATAAGAAACTAGCAGTGCATCCGCGCAAAGCGGCGGGGCGTGTAAATTCTTTTAGTGATATGTTTCCTCTACAAAAATGTTATGTTACAAAAGAAAGTACACGTCGAAGACAAAATAATCAAACTATGGTGTTATTTGGGAAATGAAGTCATTTTTTGTTCCTGGACGGTGGACTTTATAGTAGAGAAGGGAGCAAAGAGGTATATGCGATTGGAGGGATATTTGAATCAACATGCTAAATTTAAGGATATCTAAAAGGGTTCAAAATTTGAATGAATCCGAGATTTGAGGAAACCATATCAAATTGTTGAGAAATATAAGGAGATTTATAAATATTTGAATTCAAAATATGGTTAAAATTTAATATTATTTTATTAATGATTACTTGTACTATCAGCTTCATCATTTGGACGTCTTAAAAAAATATTATTATTATAATCAATCTATTTTTAGAAATAGTTAGATTTCTTTTATAAGATAGTAAAGATAGATTTGGAAGTACAATGCTATATATTCAATGAAAAAGTCAGGAAAAATGTTCAACTATTTAAACCTTAATAATTTTCAATGTTTAGTTGGTGAACCCAATCATGAATGATATTCTCACTCCAAAATTGCATCAATCAGTATGCTACTTAGTATGTGTTTATACATACCTCATCATTGTTTTATTATTATTAATTTCCCGATTTCTGTTAAATCTCTCTGTTTACATACTATGTGGTTACCACTTCAATTTCTAAATCTAAAATGGAAACAACAAGAGTTTATAGGGAAGACGTTGAGGTTTAGTCACTCATTTTCTCCTCTATTCCCTCTTTTTTCAATACTAAACATGAAATTCATGTATATGTTCACTCATTTCCTTGTATCTTCCCTTCCCTTCCATTGTAGCCTTTCTTTTAATACTAAACTCTATTATTGAAGACATCAATCCCTTTAGTACACTCTAGTCTCCAGCTGTTTGATGAAATACCTTGGAACTATGGAATTCACAAATATTTTTTATACATCATTAATTCAGACATCATTATCAGGATAACATTTTATGAGGAACAAAAATAACATAAATGTTGCCTCTTTAATATGAAAAGGTTTTAACAATATTTTACCCACTATAACGATATACTTATATTTTTCCTGTTATAACAGCGTACTTACATATTCTATGGAAAATAGCTAGATATAGCCAACCCACAATATCAACATTTATTCTTTAACTAGGTGTGAGACCCATGTATTACATGGGTTTGTTTAAAAAAATTAAATATAAAATTTGAACAATTTGAAAATTTTGAATTTATAAGAAAAATGAGAAATTTTTTGAATTATTAAAATTAATGAGACTTTCATATATTGGATACATTACATATATAAACCATTTTCTAATAAATACCTTACATATATATTATCTTATATATTAAATATGAAATTTTAATTTAATAAAATAAAAAATTCAATAAAATGACAAGTGGAAAATAGAAAATTTAAATTTTTTAGAAAATATCATGTGTCCAAATGAAAAAGAAGGATACATGTGGTAAAAAAAATCTTCATTTATTAGAGTAAAAAAGTACTAAAAATAAATAAATAAATAAATATATATATATATATATATATATATATATATATATATATATATATATATATATATATATATATATATATATATATATTATACATAATTAATAATCAAACATCCGGAAGGTATTTAACTTGCCGGAAAGTATTTAACTTGTGAAATACATGATGTATACATCAAATCAACATATGCTTTATAATGGTTTCAAATGGATTCTACATATTTATAGAAAGGATGTACGTTTCGTATTGTGAGCCATATACCATCATGACCATGACTAGCGCTCATCCTTTTTTCCTTGGCCGACTCTTCTTGTTTGTAGCACTTGGTGGTCGTCATAGTGGTGATGCTAACACAATATGATCAAATAAAAATACAAGTAAAACAAGTGTTATGTTAATTATGAACGAATTCTCGTTTCTACAAATATTAATAAAAAATTGCATTTTTTGTTATCGTATTGTCGATCAGGCCCCAACCATAATGTGCTTGGACCATTATCATCCTAGAAAAAACAAGGACAAGTGCAAAAAAAAATAATTAAAAAGAAAGCAAAAATACTTTCCCGCTTCAAACGACTTAGCTTTTGTTAGATTGTTTGTACTATTTATATATGTGCCTATGTTTGATGATAAATAGATTTATTAAGACAATTAACTTTTCGGTTTGTTTAGATCTTGGTAAATTTTTTTTTGTTTACAAATTTAGGTAACAAACTTTTTGGAAATGTTCACATATATGACCATTATGACCTGCTGTAGTATGTTACATCCGGTCATAATGGTCATATATAAACATTTTTAAAAAGTTCGTTACCTAGATGCGTACAAAAAAAAAATTATCCAGATGTGAACAAATTGAAAAGCTAAAATAAATTACACGAATGGTCCTTATGGTTTGGGTATTATGTGTGTTTGGTTTCTAACTTATTTTTTTAAACTCGGATTATCCATACTGTTTATTTTTGTTGTGCGTTTGGTTTATAACTTATTTTTTTTACCTCAAAAGAGTATTGTGCCCTTTTTAATTTATTAATTTATTTTCTTATTTATGTATTCATTTTTTATATATTTAAAAAAATTAATAGACCCTATATATTTGTATCTCCTAGGGGTGAGCAAACCCGAACCAAGAAACCGAGAAACCGAAAAAAACCGACGAAATCGAAATCGAAAAAACCGAAACCGAATCAAACCGACGGTGTGGGTTTTAAATTTGTAAAAACCGACTTTTCGGGTTCGGTTTCGGTTTTGTCCCCAGAAACCGATCCAACAACCCGAGAAACCAACCCCTCTTTAAAACCGAGAAACCGACCCAGCAAACCCGCAAACCCGATGCTTTTTACTGATTATTTTATATATATATATATATATATATATATATATATATATATATATATATATATTAAAAAAATAAAAATAAATAAAAGAAGCTTAGGTGTTTTTTTAATTATTTAACTAATTGTTACATTTCTGGAAAATGGGTTCAAACCCAAAACCCATGGGTTTAAACCCAGAAACCGTAAGTGTATGGGTTGAACCCAAGAAACCGAGAAACCGCCCAAACCGATATCAGAAATCGAGAAACCGAACCGACCAGACCGACCCTATTGGGTTCTGAAAATCAAAAACCGATCATTTATGGGTTAGGTTGGGGTGGGGTCCAAAACCGACCCAAACCGACCCATGCACAGCCCTAGTATCTCCTCACGTTAAATCTAAAACCATATTTAATAAATTTAAGTTGGGTCCCACTAGTCACTATCTCTTCTTCCATCCTTCTCAACTTCTATTTCCTTTCCATCTTTAGAATATACAAATATATAGGGTCTATCAATTTTTTTAAATATATAAAAAATAAACACATAAATAAGAAAATTAATTAAAAATAAATAAATAAGGGTACAACAGTATTTTGAGGTAAGAAAATGATCAAACGTGCAACAAAAAACAGCAGGGATCATCTGAGTTAAAAAATAAGGTAGAAACCAAACACACACATTACCCAAACCACAAGGGTCATTCGTGTAATTTACTCTTACCTTGTCGGTTTGTTCACGTATGAGTAAGTATCTTTTTTTTATACACATCTAGGTAACAAACTTTTTAGAAGTATTTACATATGACCATTATGACCGTATGTAACTTACTACAGTAGGTCATATGTGGTCATAATGGTCAAACTGTGTCTCTAACTACTGACACATGGTCATTCGCTATTGCCGTTTTCTGTTTTTTAAGGACTAGGTGTGAGCCTCATGTATTATATGAGTGTATTTAAAACAATTAAATATGTATAAACATTTGAGAAATTTGAATTTATAAGAAAAATGAGAAAAATATTGAATTACTAAAAATAAAGTGTTTTTTTCTTTTTTAAATTAAACAAATCATTTAGATAAAACAATTAAAGCAAATTAATGAGATTTTATTTTAAAATTTTGAAATTATAAAGAAAATTCATTAATGAAATTGATATGCATTTATTATTAAATTTAAATACCGTATGGAATTTAATAAAATAGGAAAACCATAAAATTACATATGGAACAAAAATTAATTCAAAATAACCATAAAAGGACATGTGACAAAATGAATGAGAGTGTGACATGTGATAAAAAAAACATTCATTTATTAGAGAAGATTAAATTGCTCTTTTATGTAGGATTTCTTTCCTTATTAGTTATTAGATAACTAACATCGTGTTCATGTGTTATTTTCCTAACAGGCTTTACATAATAGATCCTTCTTATGAGGCTTATTTTCGCACCTAGACGGTGGAAGATGTGGAAGCGAGCGTAAGAAAAAGGAAAAGAAAACCTAGAGTAGTTGGTGCTTCGAGTGGTGTTGATTGGCAAGCGGCTAGGTATGTTATTATATATGATTTATATAGTTAGCATTTTATATTTATCATTTGAATACTTACACTTTGATATTTGATTGTTTAATTAGGAACATGATCGACTACCTGGAAATATTTTCCGATGTTACAATTAAGATATCAGCTTCAAAGTATGTAACATCAATTTATTTTCGTGAACTTGTGAAAATGGAGGCCACCATCACTCGGATGACCTTGAGTCAAGATGAACAAAAGAAAAACATGGCCCTATCGATGAAAACAAAGTATGATAAATATTGAGACAACATAGATAATATGAATTATCTCTTGTATGTTGCCGTTGTTTTGGATCCACGCAACAAGCTTGCATACATTGGTTATTGTACTGATTTGGTCCATGGTACGGGTTCAAAGAAAAGTAAAGAGATAGTGGGAAAGG